TATAAGTGTTTGGAAACTCTACGGGGTGTTATAATGTCATGTGGTTTCAAGCACAAGAAAATTAATAACCGTATGATTATAATGGAATCGAGAAGAATTGTAGAACATCGGCAAGAATATCTAAGGCAGATAAGAGGCTATCGTGAATCCAATAGACATATAGTGTATCTGGATGAAACATGGTTTGACACGCATGATGTTGTGAAATATGGCTGGGTAGATGATACTAAGCAATGCAATTTGAATACACCTTGTTCAAGGGGAAAACGAGTGATAATTTTGCATGCAGGAAGTGTTGATGGTTTCATTCCTAACGCGTTGCTCTTGTCGGCTAAGAATATAAAACAATCATCAGCTGACTACCATGAAGATATGACTGCGAATCTATTTGAAAAGTGGTTCAATGAGCAGCTTCTTCCAAATATTCTACCGAACTCTGTTATTGTTATGGACAACGCATCTTATCATTCTCGTTTATTGACCAAAATTCCTAACAGTAATACGAAAAAGGCGGATATTGTAGATTTCATGAAGAATCATAATATGGATATTCCAGAAAAACTCCCTACAAAAAAGGTATTACTGGAGGAAATAAAGAGAAGAAATTTCAAGAAAGAATATGTGATAGATTCATTGTGCGAGACAAGTGGTATTATTCTTCTACGACTTCCTCCTTATTATTGTATATTCAATCCAATTGAAATGGTTTGGTCTACATTGAAAGGAAGTCTACGGAAACGTAACCAGTCACCAACATTGAGTGCAACAGTGCTAGACAATATAAGGAGAGTGGTGGATGAATTAAGTACTACTGATATTTGGAAAAACTGTATTGCTCACGTCATGAACGAAGAAAAAAAATATTATCTTTCAACCTCCATCATGAGTCCCATTATTATTCACCCAAACAACGATTCTACGTCCGAAGATAGCGAAAGCGACTAAGATGTTTGATGTGTATTTGCGATATATGTATAGTGCAGGTGAGTGTTTTCCTCATTTCGATATAATTTTTGCAAATCCATGTAATATCGGAAATATCGTATACCGGTTGAGTGAAATTCCAGTAGATGCATGGGGATCTCGGAAACGGTAAGAAATATAGAGGAGATTAAATGGAGGCAAAGTTGCGTATTATGGAGCTCATCACTATGATTTTGAAAAATCTGAGCTATATAGCCCTCTCACTTTCAGATATAAAGGAAAGACCGAAAAATTTCATTGATAAACAACGAAAATAATTAGTTGAAAATTGCGTACGCCTATGGCAAGTCGGCGAGCTCAAAAAGAATGGCACTGCCCATGTTTTTATGCTGGTTCAATTAGTAATAGAAATACTTTACCACCCAGGCGGTTTTCAAAATCGTTAGTGAGATCGTCGAAGGCCTTGAGGGTGGCATGGATGTATCTATTACTCTATGCGATCTCTCGAGGGCCTTCGATTGTGTCTCACACGAGGTTCTTATTGAGAAGTTACGTTTTTATGGTGTCAGAGGCATACCACTCGATCTGTTTCAATCTTACCTCCACAACAGAAAGCAAGCAGTATATATTAATGAATCCCATTCAGATTTTTCCAATATTCTACATGGGGTACCTCAGGGATCTGTTTTGGGCCCATCATTATTCATCGTTTATGTAAACGATCTGTTTCACTCTTTGTTTCCGAATAAATGTGTAGCTTATGCGGATGACACAACTTTGCTCAATACTGGAATTGATGCAGACAGTCTCTCTCTCAGTTTGGCAGATTCTTTCTGTAGAGCACAGGAGTGGTTTAGTGCCAACAATTTGAAATTGAATAACGATAAGACACAGGATTTGTCTTTTTCGACTAGAAATCCAGGCAATGGAAAAACTGTTAAACTTCTTGGAGTTGTAATAGACGACAAACTAATTTGGTCATCTCATGTTGATCAGCTATGTCATAAACTGTCAAGTTCGATATATCTCTTGCGTAATTTGAAAAACCAATTATGCTTCAATACTGTTCGAACATGTTATTTTTCATTTTCTCATTCTCACATAAATTACAGCATACTCTTATGGGGAAACTCTTCTTACGCTATGAAGGTTTTCAAAATGCAAAAAAGAGCTATCAGAATTATCGTTGGTGCTGGTTACAGAGATCACTGTCAACAAATATTCAAGGAACTGTTTATTATGCCTATACCATCCTTATTCATATATGCTACAGTTATTGAAATACACAAAAACAGGAATTCGTTTTCTACCAACTCTGATTTTCATAATTACCATACTCGTTATGCAAATAATTTGAGGCCATTACGTTACAGACTGAACAAATCTCAGAATAATTCACTCGATATCAAACTTTATAATGTTTTGCCCCAGGAGCTCAAGGTTTTGAATTTGAATTGTTTCAAATCAAAATTGAAACGTCATATTCTCCGTCACTGTTTTTATTCCATTGACGAATATCTGAGGACGCCCCTCGATGAGTCCTTATGAATGATTGTTATTCAACTATATGTCACTGATTCCAGTTTGTTTTATTACTAGATTCTTTGTATTTGTATGTATGACTTTTATTCTACTACTTTTAAGCGTTTTATATTCCACTACATTTTAAAGTGTTTTTTTTATGTACTACATTTTAACATGTCTATTGTATCTGACCTGCCAAAAACATAACATTTGTAACTTGGTGAAATAAATATTCTATTCTATTCTATTCTATTCATGTTCTTGAAACATGTTTGTTTGACCATTCCACTCTTGTTCTCGAAAACCATGCAATCGACAATTCTCACGAATTCTCCTGTATTCCATAGCAATATTTTTTGTGCACTAAAATTTATCAGATCTGCTCTACCGCAATACACTCAGAGAAATAGTCGGTAGTGAATACCAAACGTTTAGTAAAATAGGCGCCAGTCACTACATTCATCAAATAATATCACAACAAAATTTTATCATACCATTCTATAAGTATCATACTATTTCGAAGTGGTAATATTTGATATAGTATAGTATATTACCCAATTTTGTAGTGGTATTATTAGATTGACGTGACCAACCAACCTCGTTTTTTCAGCAATAAAATTGTTGACGTTTATAACGTCAATCATGTTGGAAGCCAGAATGATGGATGCAGTGTGCGCAACTGTTGCGAGGCGTTCGTTTATTGTCATGCAATATTCATACGAATAGAACTCGTGATGCTATTTTTCCATTCTCCAGCTTGCTGCTTCCCTCATGACATTGATTCAAAACTTATTCGCGAAATTATTAGGCAACAAGCTATCGTAAAAAATAATCGCCGAATATTTCTGGCATAATAGTTTCACTTGTGGCATTACACATGATGAAAATATGTCTCGGAGAATTGTATTTCGAGAATAAATATATTCGAGACTTTAATAATAGTGTACATTTCCGCCGTGACTACACTGAGAGGAAACTTGAGTTATCATAATTGGAAATCTGATAACCGCTATTACGATATCTGCAATAAATAGGGGACAGATGTGTTCATTTGCTACCATAGATGAAGTGAATTTTCAGGGGACTTGTAGTTATGGCAGCTTATTCAATTTGCAAACTTGTATAAAAACACCGCTGCTGAATAACTACTACTTTTTCTAGTTTCTATGATAACACAGAATGTCGAATAGGAATTATTCCCATAAAATGTTGCAGTAACTCTCCACTATACAGTGGTTATTAGACTATCAACATAAAACAGCATGTTTTTATTACTGGCACAACCATCTTGAGGTAGCGCAGTAATACGTCTCATTTTATCATAGTTATCTGATATCTGCATGAAACCTGACATTTTGACATGCTATTGTAATATAGCTCATTTTCAACAGTTATCCCAATATTTTTCTACTCTAGTATATTCATCAAACAGTGGTAATAAGGTTATCTAATCAACATTATTCGATGGTATGCATTATGAAACCGTTCTTTGAATTACTGCAATGAAAATAAATATCCTATCCACACTATAACTTTTCATGATCCAAAGTTATTGTTTTCAAAAAAACAAAAAAATACATTCAGTCACTGAATTGAAATATTTGGGTATCTGTGGAAGTTTTTTGACATTACTCATTGATTTTTCCGGAGAAATATCATCTATATGCATTACTGACGAATTCATTAAGAAATGAGAAGTTGAATACTTATATTTACCCTTCCTTCGGAGTTATGATGAGAATTGTCAATAAAACTTCCCTCACAGAAACCCAGATATTTTGATTCAGAATCTCATCATTTTGTTTTTGAAATAAACCAATTTTAGGCCGTGAAAAGTGGGTATGGAGAATACTTTTTTCATTGCAATAATGCAATGCACGGTGTATTCCACAGATCGGTTCACAGCCAGCACTAAAACAAAACTTTGCTACATCACAGACATTCACCTACAATAAGACACGGCTCTATCGATTCGGACGATCGAAACCATTGAACAATAATTGAACACAGGCACACATGACCGAGAACAGCAGTGAAATGAACGCGATCTGTATCTTTGTCAGCCCCAATACTAATGAAACACTAGAGCGAAATGAGCCGGATTACGATTGTCGAATGAATGCCTAATAATTGTCATACATGTGAATTGCTAGAGTTATTCGTCAACGTACAATGCTAGAAACCCAAACAGCTATGATTATTGGGACAAACATTAGCTGAATTCACCAATGAGCATAATTCACAAAACGAGCTATGTCAATAAAAAATCTAAATAGACTGGAATTTATAAAATTCTCATAATGTCATAACACACCTGCGTTGTGATGGTAGCAAATGTTCATTCAAGGGTATTACAAATGATTCAAGAAATCGATTTTTATAATTACAGAATGGAGAGAATACTGCTGTAATAATAAACTGATCAGGAATAGGAGATTTACTTATAATGGTTATTACAATCAGAGCTGGTAGATATTTTTAATATCCAGTTTCTCTCAGTGTATAAAACTATATACGTCATTACTATATCCTATTTTATTTAATGCTTTCAGAAACTCTAAGGAAATATCCTCCAATACAAACCTTCCCAAGGACATGCGTGCAGGACTACAAATTTCCAGGAAAAGACTTGACCATTGAAAAAGGAACAAAAGTGCTCATCCCAGTTCTGGGACTGCACCGGGATCCAGACTATTTTCCAGACCCGGAGAAATGGAATCCAGACCGGTTCGAGGACAGAAATGAAAAATCTCCCGCGTATTACCCGTTCGGAGGTGGACCTAGAAATTGTATTGGTGAGTGAACATAATTCGAAAGAAATAGTATTCATCGTTTAATTCTGATTATGACGGAGTTTCATCTTATTGGAAACTTGAAAGTTTATAGTTGATCAAAAGTTGAGATAGGTACATGTGAGCCGTTTTGACCAATTATGAATAGTTTCGACACAAAAAATTCTTGAACTTGGAAAATCTCGATTTTTCACACCCTATATTTCAGTAATTATAACTGCTAGATCCCAAGTATGATGAATCGTTGAAATCAGCTCATCAGGGAGAATCTCAAAATGAAATAATACATAGGGTGTTCGATAGAAAAAAAAATCAACTTCAGTGTTTTGTGATTTTTGGGGACATCCTGTATGTTTCAAAATAATTTCAAATGGTAGCCTATGTTGACATGCAACTTCCTAGAGAGAAAGAATTCCAAGAAGATAAGTGGTTAGCCTTCTAGAGACCGAGGCGTTACTGGTGGCCCACCCTGTATAGATACTGTTGGAAATAACATCAACAAGAAAATAACGAGAATTTTAATTCATAATTGGCGCTATATATTTCGTTGCATTGCAGGAAATATGTCCGGACCTATTTTATTGCGGTAATTCGTATTGCTATGATGCAATAATTCAAGTGATAAATTGGTATATTTTCGGTATTTCATGCAATATTTATGCATCATTAGACGCGAATTGAATGTTACGGCAGTTTCGCGTAACTTGATGGGAAGCCGAACACAGATTTATTCTGATTCAGTTTATATGGATATAATAGGTATTTCGTATTTCTCAGTCTTTAGAATTTTGCATTTGTGGGTATAAAGTGAGCGAAATGAATTTTTCCTTTTACCATAAGAAAATAATTTTTGAGAAACCTTAAATAAACATTGAATTAGACTGAAGCAGCAAACAGGCCGACGCCCGACAGGCCAGAAAAACGGTTCAAAAGGGTCGGAATAGAAAACAACGCATTATAAAAATTAGGGTTTCATCGAGACGAGAAATCTTGTCTCGAAGGCACTTTCTCGTCTCGTCTCGATCATCGAGACGAGAAATAAACAAACTCTCGTCTCGATGTTTTTCTCGAAGACAATTTCTCGTTCTCGATTCGAGACTCTCGAAATTTCGAGAGTCTCGAAAACAAAAAGGGACCGTTATTAAAAAATGCTATGTATAGGTTATAAGGCTGCACCAAAATACAGGGTATTGAATTTTCTCTATAAAAAAATTACGTCGAAATACAGAGGCTATATGCTATACCTAGAAGCCACGTATAAAAAAAATCGCCGAATATCAGCACAAAAATAAAGAATATGAAAAATGAAAATTCAACGAATCCTTGATGTTTCAATTTACCTAATCTTTTATCAATACTTTTAAATTCACCTAGGTACGAAAGGTGACAGTTTAAAATTGTTTCTTCGTTCGTGAAGAATGTAACAGCAACAGCAACAAACTCATTTTTTATAATCGAAACAGGCGTTTCTCGAAATAGTTATTTATGTATCAAGGGCGTGAAGTAGGCGTTTATGGCCTGTGGCGTGAATAATGGCCCGATGGCGCTAGCCGAGGGCCATTACACGCTCAAGGCCATAAACGCATTTCACGCACGTGATACATACAAAATTTTATGCACTAGTGTTTTATTTTCTGACTCAAAAGTAATGACTATAGATTTCGATAAACTAATATTCCCCCGAATTTGATTTGTTGCGTATGAATTCAGTAATCAAGAGAAACGTAATGTTCATGGATGATTTACATATGAAAATTATCGTACGAATATTGCAATTATCGTAATAGTAAAACTCTTTGATCTCTAGAAGAGATTCATTCTTCAGAATTTCACAATATGCATACCCAGTATATATACCTAACTAATTTTGACGTTGTCAATCAAACTGATGGTTGTTGTCTATATCAATACATCCAATCATCCAATAAACGAGCTGAATTGTCATTCTTTGACTGAAAAGTAAAAATTAGTGATAATAATAATAGCGATAGATATGGAATCGGATAAAGAAGAAGTTCATGATATACCGCTGGATATATTAGAATCTAGGAAAATGATCATAGGTTTTTCATGAATTGATATGTGGACATAAGGTAACTGAGAACAGCGGGCGGTAAAATGCACTTTACGGCCCGTGGGCCATAATGAGCCCGCGGGCGGTAAAGAGCGACTTAACGCCCGCAAAACCGGGCGGTAAAGTGCACTTTACGGCCCGCTAGTGCATAAAAAAAATTATTGAGCAAATTATTTTATCTCAATAGTAGCGGTCGGAGTACTGCATAGTGAAATTTATACAAAAATGGTGCCATAAGTCTACCATAAGAATATCCTTCGAAGTGATATAGTAATAAGCTTGGACTCACATTTTCAAAGAATACAATAGAAATAGAGTTGAATTTATGGCCCTTTCCCTTCATGGCATTTCTTTACCCTGAAAGGCCAGACTGATAATAATAATAATTATCTTTTAATTATTGTAATGAAGAAATATAAAATAGCATTGTACAAAACTTCAAAATTTTTGTTTGAATCTCATAAAAATATAATGATAATCATTGATCTCATTCTCATTTCTCCCTTGTGTTTCGACTTGGCAACAGTAGCGGGATGCAGGAGGGTTGTTTGTTTACTAATCTTTGGAATTATGTGATGAATCCGTCAGTACAGTCCGTACCGTGTTAGGGCACTGCGTTTTCATATTATTTATGAAAGAAACGAAGCCGTAATAGAACTAACTAATTGAATATAGATATATTGCAAGTTGCAGTCTGCAGTTCGAGATCGAGAAATCTCGAAATAATTTCTCGATCTCGAAAAATCTCGAAGTGCTTTTCTCGATCTCGTCTCGAAAAAAAAAAGTTAGTCTCGATTTCGAGACGGGACGAGACGAGAAATCTCAAATTTCGAGAGTCTCGTGAAACCCTAATAAAAATATTTCAAAAAATTCAAAATTCAAACCAAATAACTTTTGTATCAGATTTGTTTCTACCTTCAATAGAGGGAGGTATGGACCACTGCGACCTTACAACATACACCTGTTTGTTGTAAAATCTACAACTGCAATACTGAATTTGAAAAATGTATTTCGGATTTTGAGTGAACAAAAACTAAAAACCTACCATATGACAAATGGATAATTGAAATAAAATGCCATTACATTTTCCATTAGATTTTTCTTAATATTGAGTAGATTTGAGTCCATTATTTTTCTTTCGAGGTCAAGACCAAGACTCTTGGGAGTCTTGGTCTTGGTCTCGAGAATGTTCCTTGAACACCGATAACAGTTTTGTTTTTTTTAGGTTCGCGTTTTGCCTTGATGCAGATTAAATTAGCTTTGGCAACCATCTTGAGGAGATACAAAGTATTTCCAAGTCCAGCTACAAAACAACCACTGGAGCTCGATCCAGGTACCTTTATTATCACTATAAAACAACGTGTATATTTGAAATTCCAAAAAATTCAATAATATTCTAACTTTTCGAGATGAAAACAAACACACATACTTTGTTATTATTAGAGATATTGAAAACAAATAAATATTTTTGTAAAGATTTTTATTGAGAAGATTTTGAAATGGGGCATCAATGGCCTAATATATTTTTCCCATACCTGACATCAGCGGCCCAGTAAATGGTCCCATATGCGGCATATCCCAACGATATTCAATTCCCCGACAAAAGGCCAGTAAAACATAATCGACACATTGCGTTTCCCATAGCAAGCCCAGCATACAGTGTCTTTCAAAAGTATCGGAACGGTCTCATATTTCAGGAACGGCTTGAGAAAAATTCTCGAAATTTTCTACAGGGTGATTATTGATGATGTCCGATTCAATGGTGGCATTGGCAATGTTGCCAAGTTCACAGTTTTTCAGATATTAGGAGTAACTTTATTTTTTCAAATGAAATACCCCATTTATTTTTATTGCAATTAATTGAGCGCCTCCTAATTACTTGAGTCCCTGAATATCAGATTCGTAATTTACGTGATTTTCGAAATATGACAACATAGCATTTTCGTTAAAAAGTTCTGGAACGGTCCCATATTTCAGAAACGGCTCAGAGAAAAATTATGAAAACTTCGACAGGATGGTTGTTGATGATGCCCGATTCAATGGTCGGCAATGTTGCCAAATCAACAGTTTTTCAGATATTGAGGGTAACTCAATTTTTTCAAATGGAATACCCTATTTGTTTTCATTGCAATACATTCAGCGACGCCCCATCACTAATATCAGATTTTAAATTGTAGTGGTTTTCGAAATATGACAACATGGCATTTTCGTTCAAAAGTCTGGGAACCTTCTAATATTTTCAATACGGTTCAAGGAGAATAAATAGGGTTTTTCATTTGAAAAAATTTAATTACCCTCAATATCTGAAAAACTGTTGATTTGGCAACATTGCCAATATCACCATTGAATCGGGCATCATCAGAAACCATCTTGTATAAAATTTCATGAATTTTCCTTGAACCGTATTGAAAATATTAGAAGGTTCCCAGACTTTTGAACGAAAATGCCATGTTGTCATATTTCGAAAACCACTTCGATTTAAAATATGATATTTGGAGACATAAGTAATGAGGCGTCGCTGAATGTATTGCAATGAAAACAAATAGGGTATTCCATTTGAAAAAATTGAGTTACCCTAAATATCTGAAAAACTGTTGATTTGGCAAAATTGCCGACCATTGAATCGGGCATCATCAACAACCATCCTGTCGAAGTTTTCATAATTTTTCTCTGAGCCGTTTCTGAAATATGGGACCGTTCCAGAACTTTTTAACTAAAATGCGATGTTGTCATATTTCGAAAATCACGTTAATTACAAATCTAATATTTAGGGACTCAAGTAATTAGGAGGCGCTTTATTAATTGCAATAAAAATAAATGGGGTATTCCATTTGAAAAAATAAAGTTACTCCTAATATCTGAAAAACTGTGAACTTGGCAACATTGCCGATGCCACCGTTGAATCGGACATCATCAATAATCACCCTGTAGAAAATTTCGTGAATTTTTCTCAAGCCGTTCCTGAAATATGAGACCGATCCGATACTTTTGAAAGACACTGTATACATAAATGGTGGGACTGTAATGGCCAATTAACGACATTGGTTACATACTATCGAGGTAGGGGAGGAGTAGGAGCTTTAGGGGTCCAATGAATCTGGGAGTTCTAGCATTGTCGATCCAGGTTGTCATCTAGAACGACAATGTTCTCATTATCAATCAGACACATACCAGATTTCAAGAAAACAATTTTATGAATGACGCAATGATATCTTCTTAACCTCTCTGTTCTTCAACGATGAAACTTCTCGAAATGACTGCTTACTGGTTGGTTGGTATGTGGTTTCTACATCTTATTGGGTAGCATTACTTCTTTTTTGTGAGGTACTTCTGAAATATAAAATGCATCATTTGTTTTATATTAGTGGCCTATGAGTTGCATGAGTTTATAACTTGGTATATTGGTAATATAGTCTGACGACGTGATAACATGAAGCTTTTCAATTCTCATTATCATTTGGGTGTATGATAAATTGACATTCATCTTACAGGGCGTGGAAAGAAATTCTGAATTGAGACTCTATCACGAATCTGCGATTAGAGGTCTATAAAAATCACAAGTTTCCATCGTTCAAGGTATTTCTGATGTAGCTGAATCTTTATTGTTATTTAGTTCTTTATTATAGAGATAGGTTCACATAACCTGAGATTGCTTTTGATAGCAACAAAAGAGTTAAAAATGATAGTTGTTTTTGGAGAAATATAGCCAACTCCAATTATTAGGATCATTAGGTATATGAGGTTACGAGATACCAAACACATATGCATTTAATAATGGATTTCGAAACATTATTTAGCTAGATTAATACTTACTCAATATTATCATAATTGAAGAATCTGTCTTCTATAATTATCAATTGAGAATACTCCTGCCATCATAAATAACCAGCAGGGAAAGGGAGGACCACATTATTTCGACATGAACAAACTAGTACGCGATCACCACTCACGAGAGTCAGCCATCTTAGTCACATATAATATTGACCAGCTGATTGTTGATGTAGACGTTCCCAGAACATCCATCAGCAGCGAACATGAAATTGGCCAGCAAAGGGCCAGATCTCATTAGTATTCAATTGGTTCCAGACATCTTACCATCACAAGACCTTCATTGTATTTTTGAGTGATGGTTACTTGGCATAGGAAAATCATCGGCCCATTACCAATACCCCCGGCAATACACTGGTACAATGAACTAGAAATCTTATCGTTTGTGAAGTTTTTACATTTGTCATAGATATCCATCAATTAACGACCGAGTCAATTGAAAAAAAAAAAAAAAAAAAAATACTCTCCCCAGAACGGCGGAAGAATATACAGTCAACCAATATAATTCAATGGCCAAAAGTATTGATCCTACCTTTTATGTAAACAGCTTCTCATGATGGTAACCCGTGCCGTTCATCAATTACCTTCGGATGTAGAATCATTTCCTGATGAAATACTTTGTGAATCCTGATGACCCTTTTTTACTCCTCGAAACTAAGCAACTGGATACGATGGATCACAAATCAACTATCAGGTTTGACTACCACTGCCAAACACATACATTCAGAAATCAGAAACAGTGGATAGGTATTTCGCAAACTCGAAATAGGGCTGTAGCATTAGTTGGCGATTGGGTGTTGTTGAGCTCACGCTCATCTCACGCTGTCTAAGCTATCATCGACTCTCGTCTCGTTTCAGTCGTCTCCCTCTGACCTTGTAGGTGGACATCTGTGTATGGCATTCTGAAATCATATTGGCAGGCCGTATAACCCCATAAATTTTGTCGGTTACATCTCGGGACACCCGTATGCAATGTAGGTTAGTTACAGAGAGTGTCAACCTTTCCGAGAATATTTCGCCTCTGTAGAAAGATAATATCCAATGGACCAGTGTGAAATTGATGTGGTGCTCGCACTACAACTATCCAAATCAACATTTTGAGTGTTGCACTGGTCCATCGGATATTATCTTTTGAGAGGGGGATCAGCAAACAATTCTTGGAAGTATTGACGCTCTGCCACTAACTTAGATAAGTTTGAATTGCGGCATCTTTGCACCTTTGGATATTCACAAAGGGGATATTATCCCCTCTCATTTGCTTTCCATTTCGACTCGTTGTCACATGACGGAAGTATATCCGGAATAACGGCAACACATAAATCGCTGTGCTGTGGAATTGATTCAGATTACGTGGTGGCAGTGGTAGGTTTTTGAACAGAATTAGAAATATTAATTACGGTAGTCCACTAAATGTGCCGATTCGTCCATCCCCCTACCCCGGTTCTCTAGCAGGGCCTACTCTAGTATGCCCTGTCCTAGCGTGTACTGTGTGCGTACAGGGTGAGCCAAATTGGACACTTTCAAAGTGAAAGTTCTATTTCCAAACCAGATGGACGAAAACTGATGTCGGTGTCTGATGGTCAATTTTTATGACAAACTTGATAGTGAAAACCGCACATCGATATCTATCATCGTTTCTGAGTTACAGCATGTTTTCCGAAAATGTGCATTTTCGAAAACTTGCTGTAACTTTTTTCCTGTTGAAAATTTGTTCTTTCTATGAACACATTTTCAAAGCACTTTTTCACGTTTTTTTTTCAAATGGGACACTCTGTATATTTCTGCATATTTCGATAGAGCTTGAAATAACCATCCCAAAAATATAGCACACTCGGTATTTTACTGAAGTTATCTTTGAAATGCAGAGCTTTTTTGATTTTCACATCTAAACTTTGAAACGCACATCTTGAACAAGTAGGCTTTGGACGACGCGGTGATAAAACAGAAATCGAATGTTTACTGTGCTGTCAAATTATGATCAAAGTGATATTAGAGCAGTTAAGACGCTCCTCAATTCGTAGTTTTCGTTCAATTCACAAACACATTTTCAATGAAGTTTGAAAATTATGAGAAATGAGATATAATATGTTTTATACAAACCGGGGAAAATGCAGAAGCAGCAAGCGATTTGTACCACGAGAGGTATCCAGAGAGAAGACAACCATTCAGAGATATTTATGCGAGATTGCGACGCAACCTTATTGATGATGGTCAATTCGAGAAAAAAAGGCCAAAAGTATATGAACCAAATAGGGATAGGAATTTGGAAGAAATAGTTGTTTTAGGATCTGTTGAAAATGATCCCAGAATTTCAACACGAAATTTGGAAAGTACAACAGGCCTATCAAGAAGTAGCATTAGAAGGACTTTAAAAAGCACAAATTCAAGCCATACAGGACCAGAAGAGTTCATCACCTCATACCAGGAGATTTCGAACGCCGCATGAATTTCTGCCAATGGTTTCTAAAGAATTGTAACAGAGTGCGTGATTTTCCGTTAAATTGTATTTGGACAGACGAAGCTTATGTGAGCAGTGCCAGTATTTTCAACCGCTACAATTCATATACTTGGGCACAACAGAATCCTCATTCTATTGTGGAGCAGAGAATAATAGGAAGATTTGGATTTAGTGTATTGGCAGGGG